CCCCCCCCTCTTCCCCCCCCCCCCCCCCCCACAGTCTCTTTCTTTCTTCCAGCTGCAGGACTGAGAGGTCCTAAAACAGAAGCCAACATCTTATTTCTCGGTCCATTTTAGCATGTTAACAATACTATATTCTTCTCTCTGACACCCTGTGCAAGATGAACTGGGGAAGATCAAGGGAGATCAATCCAGTCCTTTTAGGTGTAATCTTATAGGTTTGGAACCAATCTCAGGAATCAATCCCTAAAAAGTTGATTTTGAATGCTTGAGGATGGCAATACTGCATATTTTCTCAAAAAGTCAGACTCTCATCTATGCTACACTAGGTGTAATCTGATGTAGTTCTATCAAAAGACCCACAGTTCTGTAAAAGGGGGTTGCATTCAATGGAGTTGTGCCAGAATAAAACTAGTATGATGGAGTGAAGAATTAGGACTAAAATAATTTCTACATAAGATTTCCCCTCTCACATTATCTTTCTATCTAGTTTCTGCATAGCGCCTATTGCTAATATCCAAGAGTTTTTCTACTTTTGATATTTAAAATTCTATAAAGGAAAAAAGATCTTTCCCACTTCTTTCAAATAGCCAGTGTTTGCATAATTTTCTTGATTTATACAGTCCTATGGGCATATAAAAGTATGCCTAATTTGAAGCCTGCTTGAAGAGCTTTGAAGGAAACTTTCTCCAGAGGAAAACATTCCTCTACTGAAGGAGGGAGAAAGATAACCCAAAATTTAGTGACTTTTGGCAGGGTAGGGAGGACGAGAGGAAAGAATGTGTCAAAAAGATGACAACCGGCTACTTAAATGAATGAGTTAAATGTATTCTCACGGTTTTCACTTCAAAAAATGCTGCTGTTAATTGCCTGAACAGCAAAATTGATTACCATTTCGACCACTAGATTTTGTGGATATTTACTCCACATTAGTCGAGGACAATGACATTTGCAACTTTTAAGTATTTTTAATCAGTGTGACAGACATACTTTAAAAACTAAGATAATTGCTTTGATCAATAACCAGGAACACTCCCAAATAATAATACAGTATTGTAGAAGTTTTATTATACCTAGTCTATAGCCAGCTGGCATCAATTAAATGAAAACTGATTCAGAATCCTGATTATTAGGCCTGTGCGAAGTGGCTAGTATTTGCTTCAGGTTTGGATTTGGCCGATTCGCGGGACAGTGATTCAATTCAGTGATTTGAATCACTGTCCGGAATCTGATTCAGAGATTCGGCTCCTGCCAAATCTCCAAATCGCACAGGCCCACCCCACGCCCACTCTCCCAGCCTCCCCACCTGCCCCAGCTCCCAGTACATGGGGGAAAAAAGCTCTGACTCAGTGGGTGCTACCAGGCAGCCCCCCACTGTCCCAGCCCCCTCCATGGCTGCCCCACCTGCCCCAGCTCTGGCTCTTTAAGGAAAAAACACACAAAAAACCCCCCTGAACTCACCAGTTCCTGCCCTGTGGGGGGTGATTCCCGTTACCCCTTGCTGCCCTGTGCCATGTGGGGGGCTATGCATGAGCCCCACAAAGCCCTGAGGCCTCTGTAGGAGCTGGTGAGTGGGGGGTTTTTTTCTTAAAGAGCCAGAGCTGGGGTGGGCACAGCAGCCAGGGGGAGGGCTGGGGGAGCAGGGCAGGGTCAGGGGGCTTTGTAGAGCCCTCCTATGCAGCGTGGGGCAGTGGGGATCGCCCCCCGCCGGGCAGCACCCAGGGAGCAAGC